CCTAGTAAAGGGTAAGTGTGCCACCTGGGCCTGCTGGGATGCTCACAGATTTGAGGCTTTCTCTGTGAACACACTTGGAGATCTCTGGACCTTGGCAGAGGGGAAATTGAAGAGAGGCTGAGATCTGAGAGGAAGGAGCTGGCTGAGCACCAGGGAGTTAGGCCAAGGAGAAAGCCAGACAGGAAGGAATTCTAGGTGACCACATGTGGCCAACAGAATGAGTTAAGATTTAAGTTTTCCTTCTTGTGTTGTCCACTCTATGACATTTTCAAGTTTTTAGATAAGCCTGTGACTTTAAAGGGCTCAATCCTGGTGCTTTGGGGGTATGAAGGAAAGAGTCAAGTGGCACTAAATGAGTCAAGTGGCACTAAATGCCCATAGCGCCTCATCATTAAGGAACAGGAGACAGAAGGTACAATTTGGAGTGAAAGGTGAAGTCAGAACCAGAAGGTGCAGGTACTTCTGGAGACCCTCAGAGGTTAACAGGGTGAAGCAAAACAGAATTCTCGTTAACTTACCCAGAGGGTGCATTTTTGAGGAAATGTCTGGAGATTCTAGTGACATTCCGTATTCACACACTCACACAGAGAAACCCCTCAGATCTTTCCCTCCCTCTCCAGGTGGATCCTAGGAAAGTGGTACTGAAAAACAAAGTTGGCCAGCAAAGACTCATTCCTGCCTTGGGCTAGGACCTTGCACTGTTTGGCAAAGGTCAGGCCAGGAGAAGGCGGAGGGCCCCAGAAGCTCAACCTGTAGGGTGTCTGGGCTTGAGGACTTTAACCCATTGGAAAAACTTTATCACACAACCTGCTTGCCTCCTGGCATCTTTTATAGCCATCTCGTTGCTGCAGGTTTTAGCTTAGCTCATGAAGAAGTTTGAACTCCACTGTCCTAAGAGACAGTCTCATTCAGCTCTGGATGAGCAGAGACAAATCCAGGAAGTAGAGTTGCCTACAAAGTCATTGGGAGAGGACGGGATGCACTCCGGTTCCCGGCCGACCCCGTTCCCAGCTCCCCCTCTCTGTACTCTCCCCACATTTTTTTGACTCCGACTCTGGAACTTTTCTTTTCGTCGTTGTTGCTGTTTATCTTTTCTGATCATAAAATTTATGCTTATGCTAAATTGAAAGTTTCGAGAGATTTTTAAAAAGCTATACCGATGTAAGAAAGTTTCGAGAGATTTTTAAAAAGCTATACCAATGTAAGAAACGTCCGCATCTGTAGAGAATTTTCGTAAGAGTTTATTTGAGCCCCACTGATGACACATGCAAAGGAGCGAGAGCTCAAATGCTCCAGAGAATAACAGTTCTGCAGCTTCTTTTATGCATTTGAAATTTAGGAGGGGACAGAAGGAGGATTGGGGGAAGCAAGGCAGGGAGTGGATTACCGGATGGTTAATAAGCATATGTGCTCTCTTGAGGGTTGATACGCCTTAGAGGGGTATTACTTCTGGTGTTTAAAGATGTCTGAACCTAGGTGCACAAGAATGGACAGGACTGATCGTTTTATAAACTATATAAATGTCTAACCAATGTACTATGTACTTGAAACTAATAATAATAATTTTAAAAATGGACAGGGCTGGCTTAAAACATTTCACTAAAGACATCATAGGCCTGGGGTATGACTAACCACCATGACCTGTCCAGTAGGAATTGATGATCAGATCATCTTGTGAGGTTACTTCCCATAGAACTCCTTATTTCAACCACAGTTGCTTGTTGTCTATGCATTTTTTTGATTTAGTAAAGATTATATTGTATATATATTATACATAATTTTGACTTTTTTTCCCCCACATTTCTACTATGTTTATTCCTGAGTAGCTAATAGCATTCTTGCTATTGTGAATTCTATTTCTTTGCATTTTATTTAGTAATGGCTAAAGCTGCCAGAACAATGGTAAAAAAAACTGATGGTAACCTGAATCTTGGTTTTATTCCTGACTTTTACGGGAATGCTTTTGGTGTTTTGCTTTTAAGGATGATGTTGATTCTTATCGATATCAGTTAGTTATTGGACGTTGAGATAGAAGTTCTTTATCATGAAAAGGAAGACTGTTATTGAAAAGGCAAAGGGATTAAGAAGTACAAATTGGAGGTTACAAAGCAGTCATGGGGAAGTGAAGTGCAGCACAGGGAATATAGTCAATAATAATGTAATAACTATGTACAATGTTACACGGGTAACAGGAATATCACTTTGTAAGCTATGTAAATGTCTAAGCACTGTGCTGTGCACCTGAAACTAATGTAACATTGAATGTCAACTATAATTGAAAAATTAAAAATACTAATGAAAAAAGAAAGTCTGTTTTTTAAAATCAAAGTGTACTCTTTAAAAATAAAGCAAAAACAAGTATTGGATTTTATCAATTTTTTTTTTTTTTCAAAAAAAACCTATCAAGAAGACAGATACTGATTTAAATTTTGAGTAGGTTTTGTTTATATCAAACCATCCTTACATTTCTGACGTAACAGTGTTTTATATGTTGCTAGGCTTATTTGCTGGAATTTTGTTTAAAGTTTTTGTTTCTGTTTATATAGGTGAACATCATCTGTACTTCTTAAATTTGTGTCTGAATAGCTTTATAAACTGAATTGTGACACAATCCATAGTTTCCTCTGTCCCTTGTCTTGGAACGATTTCTTTATCAATGGGAATTATCTATTCCTCCAAGGTATTTTTAAAATAACTGTTCTCTTATAATCTCAGTCCAGCATTTCACAGAGTCAATCAAATTTGCTTTCATTTTTATTGCTTTGCTTATTGCTTTGATTAGGTTATCTATTTCTTGATTCCAGTTTGATAATTTACATTTTACTCAAGAATTATACCCTTCGTAAAGATTTTTCAAATCTATTATAGCACTGGGTTGAACCCAGAATTTTAAAGTTTCTGAATCTGTAATTTTATCCACTACTCAGTATGTCTAGAGATTTAAAACTCAGGGTCTATGGTCCAGGGGACCTGGGTTCAAATCCCCGATTTACTACAACCTGCCCTTGGACAGTAGGGGTTTGAACTGCACAAATTTTTTTAAATAAATACAGTTGGACCTTCGTATTGGCTGCTTTGACGTCTGTGGATTCAACCTACCATGGATCAAAAACGGTATTTTTGTATTCCCAATTATGGACTGAAAATATTGTTTCTGAGACCCGTAGTTAGTTGAATCTGCTGATTCGAAGAGCTGACTATAGTTAAGTTTCTGAGAAGTCAAAAGTTATACTCAGATTTTCGACTGCTTGGGGGTCGGTGCCCTTGACCCTGTGTTGTTCAAGGTCAACTATACTTCTGTGATGAGCATAGATAAGTCCCTTCAACTTCTCTGAGCTTGGCTCCTGAAATGTAGAAAATAAAAAATAGGGCAATGGGGAGGGATAGAGCAAATGACAGTGTCAACTCTTTTAAGTCTCTAGAACTATTGAATTTTTACCCTTGACAAAAATCATGTAAAAACCTTTTTAAAACAATGGGACTAGAAAGTGAATCTTTCATGAGAGGACAGCACAAGTTTGTTTCCCAAAATGCTAAGAGTTCTTTGTGTTTTGTCCTTGGGCTGTTTCGTAATCCGGTCCTCAGACTGACCCACAGATCCATTTGGAAACGAGTCACATGACTTGTCCAGTTCATCCTAATAATGACTCCAAGGCCGGTTCTGGCCTCTGAGGCTTACGTTGTACTTGACTTTGGTGTTTTACTTTGGAAATACTCAGAGAAAGAAAAATGCAAACAAGCATGGGGAGTGTATCTTATGTAACTGCCATGCATGTTAGTCTCCTATAATTTAAGACATGGCTATACGTTAAGCATTTAGTAAACCAATCTTGGGCTAAATGTTTGCATGCATAACCTTGTTTTAATAATCAGAGGAAGCCATGTGTTACTGTCCCATATTCCAGAGGAGGAAAGGAACATTGAGAAAGATGGCATGGGGTGGCAGGCAGGGCCAGTTTCTTGGGTGTGCAGTCAGTCACACAGGACCCCACACTCAGAAGGGTCTTATCTTTGACTAAAATGCTCTACTGTCAGGGCCCTGAAATTCTTACTAGTTTTATCTTTTAACTTGTATTCTGCAAGTGAAGTTCATAAGACAATGGAGCATGCACGTGAGCAGAAGAGAATGGGCAATATGCGCCCACAGTTCCTTGTTACTCTATCCACACACAACTTATAATGCCCCAGGAATACAGAATCCCTGTAGACTCATGTGCATAGAAGTGCAGCAAGACTCAAAGCCAAGTACAAGGTGATTGTCATGTCTGCAACTGAGTAAGCTGGGGCACTGACAGCCCCCCGAAAGGCCACGCTTTCCATTCAAACTAGAACTTTGAAACAAAAGAAACTAAGGAACTTTATTATACCCTGCCTCATTTTTACTTCTTTACTGATCAGTAAGAGAAAGTATTGGTACAATGCGCACACAACAAAAAATGAAATAAAAACAATTTAGTTTTGTGCAGTGTTCCTGCTGTTCTAGCAGGAAATACATATATAAGCTACAAAATATGACCGGTATAATTTCAGCCATTCCACATTTAAAACTGACATTACACAATGTGAACAGTAAAATCCATGCTAATAATTTAAATTTCACTTAAGATAGTATTACAATGTTCCCCAACTCACAATGGTATGACTTAACGATTTTTTGACTTTATGATAGTGCCAAAATGATATGCCTTCAGTAGAAACCATACTTTGAAGGCTGAGTTTTAATATTTTTTATGGGCCAGCAAAATGCTGGGTCCTGGGCAATGTCAGCGAGCCACAGCTCCCAGTCAGCCACCCAATTTCAAGGGTAAACAACCGACACCCTACAGTGCACTATGTTGCCAGTGTTATTTGGAAATTGCCTTTGGCATGCTTAAAGTAGGCTAGGCTATGATGTTCAGTAGGTTATTAAATGCATTTTTGACCTAATATTTTCAATTTGACTTAATATTTTCAATTTATAATTGACTTTATAGGGACATAACCTTGTAAGTCGAAGAGCATCTGCAAATAGCAAAATTTTAAGATGAGAGAGAGATCACGGAAGAAAGGAAAGCTTTATATTGTTAATACCTCTAATGGCCTTTCCCCCTGCTTTTGGAACAAGGGGCCTCACAAATTATGTCACTGGCCCTGGTCATGAATAATGACATTAAGTAAGGGAAATGGCCTAACATTATTAGCTAATAGACCCAGGAGGTCCTTATTTCCATATAATAGAAAGCGACACACTCCTTTTGGGTTTGATTATCTTTATTTTCCCCTTCCCACAACCAGTAAAAAAATACAATCAACACAGGTACAAGGATCCAATTTTTAAAAATCAGAGTGCAAAGAGGGCCACAGCCCCGCCCAGGTTTAGCTTACAATATTTAGAGTGAGGCATGGGCGTGGCTAACAGGCACTTTGAAAAGGTAGATTATCAAAAAAATACAAAAGTGGTCTTTCCATCTGATAGAACCCAGCCTCATTTCCAAATGAGAGCCCTACAAAACACATTGCACTACTATTTACTATATAAGTTATGAAAAATGCTGTACAGGTGCGTGGCTATAAATATGGCGTATAAATGGCTGTTATGGAATCGGTATCTACACGGAGGAAAGGTCAGGGGCGGGCTCAGTTTGGTGCCCTGACCTGTTAAGGGTAAGTTAGGATGGGAAAGGGCAGGGTCAGGGAGTAAGGTGCCACCAACCCCTCCTTCCCCAGACTAGGTCGAAGCTCACTCTCTCCAGGGAGGATTGAGTTGTTGGGGGCGAGGAGCAGTGGAGGGAGGGGGCGTAAATACAACAGGGGGCTCTAGAAGGCATCTGGAACAAGAAGGACCATACCCCTTGGATGTACAGACGCACAAGAACCCTACTGCTACCTGATGATCACAGTTCTGTGGGAGACCAGCCAGCCTCCAGTTTCCACCCTCAGAGAAAAGTCTGGAGCTTTGCAGGCACGGAGAGAAGGCAAGAAATTAAAGTTCATCTATATGGGAATATGGCAGAATGTTTGGAAGAGTTTCAAAACTCCAAAGCACATCTGGCTTAGATGGATGGATAAGTGGTTGGATGGAAGCTTACCAAAATCTGACCCAGTCATCTTGCACACAGAGCAAGGAGACAGAAGTGTAAAACTGTCCCGTGCTCAGGTGCTTCCTGGGACTCAAGAGAACCTGAGTCCAAGAGTAGCACTAGGCTTTAGCTACAGTCAATTTGGCTTCCAAAATAGCCAAATTAAGAACCCCAGGCCGTTTTAGCGCATAAACCATCCCCACCCCGCCCTCCACCCCTCCTCCCCCCCAATGCTCTCCACTGCCTCGCTCTCATCCTCCACCTGCCCAGCTCGGGAACAGGCCACTGTCCTCTCAGGAAGATAGAGCGACAGGTGAGCTAACGTGCATCCTGATCTCTCTGTAGCTTTAATGTGGCTCCCATCCCAGAAACTCAAGGACACAGCAGGTGAAATGGACTAGCCACACATGCCCAGATGAGGAAAGCCTGACAGGGGGCTTGAGGAGCACTGGGAAGAGAAAGGCCCATGCCTGTGGTCTCCTTTGGGTCTCCAGACGATTACATTATTTCCCCGGAACCGGGCTGTTCTGGGGCAAGGACACGGGAGCAGCTGCCTTTGGTTGAAGCCAGTCTTCAGTAAAGGAGAGATGTCCGAGTTTTGTCAGTTAGAAAAGCATGTGTGTACGCCTTTAAGAAACTCCCATAAATTACTCCTTTGGGACTTCAGAGGATGGTTACATATGAAAATAAGTCCTATTGACCAACCCAGTGTGTGCAGGGGTGGGCGGGTGTGCTCATCTCTCTAGTTGAGTTTCATTGTCTAATTCTCTTTTCAGTATCATTCTGCACCCTCGTGGGAGTGGAAGACCCAGGGAGAAGCGGTGGGTATAAAACTACAGTGCAGGTTGACGCACTGTGCAAAGGGGAATGAGAGTCAGAACTGACGACGGTGACATTTCTCAGTGAGATGGAGAAAGACGCGCAGAACCAGGAGGGCGCAGGAGCATGTGAGATGCGGGCCCCTTGGCCGGTCACCGGGCGGCCCCTACAAGGCCGTGCTGCTAGAGGTGGTGCTTGTGTCCAGGGCATCCACTGGGGACTTGGGGGCCCCATCCTGGGCCTCTCTGACTATGGCGATGTCATTATTAAAGGCCTCGGGGGCCTTGATGTGGGCGTCCTGCACCTCCTCCAGTTCCCGGCAGCACTTGCTACAGCGGCAGCACGGGCAGCACAGCAGGCAGCAGACGCGGCAGCAGAGACGGCAGCAGACGCGGCAGCAGCAGCAGCAGCGTCTCTCGCAGTAGCTGGACCACAGGGAGACCATGCGGTCCCAGGGCTTCAGCGAGCGCATGCACAAGGGCAGGAAGTTCCAAGTCTGGAGCTTCTTGGGCAGGATGCCTGGGCAGCGGGACTGCAGGAGCTTGAGGACCAACACCAGAAGGAGCACTAAAACGATGGGCACCCCCACACCCACCAGCACTGGCCACCCAGCCAACGAGAGGCCAAACACTGTCAGTGGGAGTACGAGGAAGAGGTGGACCAGGTAGAAGATGGCAAACCAGCGGTACTTAGCTGAGATGTTACCCAGCCCCTTGGCCAGGCGGATGGGCAGGCGAGTGAACGGGATTGGGTACCACAGTAAGATGCCTGTGATGTTGAAGAAAAAGTGGCACAGGGCAATCTGAAACAAGATGTTGGACAGGTGAATATAAGTGTAAAATACACACTGGATTTCAAAGACTTAGTTCAAAAGAGAATGTAAAATACCCACTGATTTTTTTTATATCAATTACGTGTTGAAATGATAATGAGTTAAATTCATTATTAAAATCGATTTTCCTTGTTCCATTCTACTTTTTAAAAATTGTGGATACTAAAAAGCTTCGAATTACGTGGGTGACAACTCATTTATATTCTATGCCCACATGTATTTCTATTGGACGGCATGGCTTTATAATTAGATCTTTGTAATAACCCGAATGAGATAGGGATTATGGTTCCTATTTTTCAGATGAAAGAATTGATGCTCGAATGTTAGGTGACCTGTCTAAGGTCACTTAGTGTGTACATGGTGAGACAAGGATTCAAATGGCAAAGGTCTTCTCGCCCAAGGTCACATAGTTGATCCAGGAAGGAAAGGTGGCCCTGATTCTTCTTACTGCCAAGCCAAGGCCACAGGTGACCTCCCAATGTCCAGGAAGAGTTCCCCAAGAAAGGGGCAGAGATGCAAGCGTGGTGGTCTCTGCTTTCTGAATTCTCTTTCCACTTCTATTAATTGGCCACCCCACCTTTGTTTCAGTAACGGCCGGTGCTGGGAGTCTCACTACCTCTCTGAGGAGGAGATGGCTTTGCTGTTAAGCCTCCCTGTTGCTTCTCCACATCACAGTTTTGGAGGTAACAGAGAAAAGCCTGGCTCTTGTTAGAAGCCATCTGCTTGCAAGACCAGGGATGGGGGTGTATCCCCCCACCCCCACAGAGCCCCTGCCCCATGCAATATTTCCTGACCTGGAGTGAGCTCCTCAGAGTGTTGCCAGGACTGGCCAAAGCGGCCATAATGGCGGTGGTGGTGGTGCCAATGTTGGCACCCAGCGTGAGTGGATACGCCCTCTCGATGCTTATCACACCGACGCCTGCAGGGAAATACAAGTCTATTAACATCAGCCCCAGGGGGAAGACGGGAGATGGTAATGGTGGCCAGAGGAAGAAGCCAGGGAGAAACTCACCGATCAGTGGGGTCATCGTAGACGTGAACACTGAGCTGCTTTGCACGATGAAAGTCATGACTGCCCCCACGAGGATGGCCAGGTAGCCAGTCAGCCAGGCAAAAGGAAAAGGGAAATCTGGGAGACAGAAAAGATTTGTCACAATCCTTCCAGGAAGGCTCGGGTTGTAGGCCCAGCTGGGACCTCCATAAAAGTTGGGGTGGGGCATGAGCTAGTTTAATGCCCCATACCATAGTCTAAAATAGCAAATTAAAAAAATCCTTTCCCTCAGCATATTCAGATGGCGAAACCAAGGATGTGGGTATGTTATGAAGACAAAAACACATTCACTGGAGGTCAGAGGTTACAAATGCTGAGCCCACATGTTACGGACTGAATGTTTGTGTCCCCTCCACCAAATTCAGGTTGAAACCCTTCCCCCGCAGTGTGATTGTATTAAGCGTGGCCTTTAGGAGGTAATTAGGTCATGAGGGTGGAGTCCTCGTGAGTGGATTAGTGCCCTTATAGAAGGGAGAGCCCGCTTCCTCTCCATTGTTTCCCCCATGTGAGGACACAGTGGACGTGGCCATCTGTAGATCAGGAAGTGTGTCCTCACCAGAACCTGACCCCGCTGGCACCCTGATCTTAGACCTCCACAGCCTCTAGGACTGTGAGAAATAAATTTTCATTGTTTAAGCCCCTCTGTCTATGGTAATTTGTTATAGCAGCTGAATTGACTAAGACGCCACCCAAATCACCATATTCCTCCTGCAAAGCTCTGAGCACTTGGTCCTCTGTGCTTCCTCCTGCCCTAGTGTCCCAGCACTGCATACCCTCCAAGTGTTTCTACCTAAGAAAAGGAGCATCAAGGAAATGCAGCAGCTTTGAAAGCCTAGCGACAAAGACATCGGCACCTTCGGCACAGGATCAGCCCTGCATGCCCAGCAGGTACCCAAAGTCACTCAGCTCACCCTCACGACAACCTTATGACAACCCTGGGAGGTATTCTTAGCCCCGTTTCACTTAGGTTTCACAGGGTGGTCGTGTCCTTGGCTTGGCACGCTCTCATTGGCCAGACGACACTTGTAGTCTGCTTCGAAATGCTGATGTTTGCACAGAACCACATTTTCTTCCCAAGAGTTGAAGGGAAGTGGGTACCAGAGTGGGCATATGTTAGACTTTTCCTAAGGAAGCCTGGGCACATAGGAGACCTCCCAGGAAAGAAGGCCTCTTTCATAGCTCTCTGGCTTCTTCTCAGGACCTTGCAAACGCGCAACGGAAGCTCATGCTTGCTCCCTGTGCCCCACCCAAGACCAAAGAAGGTTTCAGTGTCTAAACTTCCATAGCTTTCCGTATATAAGAGGAAAACTCCAGCAGAAGCCATTGTTAGGTAAGGATCTAAAGGAGCCTTCTGAGGTGGTGACAGTGATGCCAACCCCTAGAAAGCCCAGATCGGGGGACAAAGCACCTACCGGTGTTGATGGTCTTCTTGATGACAGCAGCTACTTGTCCCTCGAGCACAGAGCCCAGGATCTTGACGATCAGGATCAGACAGCCACAGAGCACAAACAGGGAGGTTACCAGCAGGATGATGCCGACGAAAAGATCCGGGAGGGTAGAATTCACAAAGATGTGCTGGCCTGAGGAGACCGTGGAAAGTCCTCGTTAGGGGGTTATGGAGTCCCCCAGGGCCACAGATTCTTGTTTCTTCCCCAGTTTATTCCTTCCGTCTCATAGTGACAGGATCTTGGTTGTCGGCCATCAGCACCGCAGACAGTGTGTCCCAGTGGCTGGTGCTGTGTTTACTCACATTTGGCAATGTTCTCCTGGTAGGTCACGTTCTTGATGGTCCAGGTGTGGAAACCATCTGTCCAGCAGGAGGAAGGGGAAGTGCAGTTCTCAGTCGAGGGGACGGTCACATTCACCTGAGTCTGGGTGGCAAACATGAGAAATGGTGTGCATCATCCCTAACACTCATTTTGGATGGGGGTTAGAGGGAGACACACATCGATGTGTGTATTTGTAAGTGGACACACCGTTTCCAGGGGTCCATCCATAAATGGGAACAGAGGTGGCCACAGAGACAAGCTAAAGGATGTGAAAATAGTGACAAGCCAGGAATAGTGTATGTGTGGTGTGGAATGGGGCACAAGGCAGTCTATTCTACTTATTGTAGTCTGTCTGTCCGTCCAGAATTCAAGGACTTGTTTCCCAAAGGATTCTCACCAGCCAGTTTTAATTTTTCAGACATCCCCAATGTTTCTTCTCCTTAACCTTGTATCCGCCCACTTTGAAGGAAGGGATTTGCTTAAAGTACAGATGCAAGAGTTCACTTGCCCAGCTATGTTCTTAGAAACTTACCACGTTGGTTAGAGTTTTGCACCAAATCTTGATTAGACTCTTGTTTTGGGCTGTTGGATCATTCATTGCAATTTGGTTGATAACTTTGTTATCTAGCTGAGGAAGGCAATACACAGCAGGGAGTCAGCACGATCTCAGAACAGGTGTAAGAAGAACACACAGGGGCTGCTATACAGAGGGGCTCGGAGGATGGGAACAGACTGAGCCCCTGCAGAAGTGAGGGGCACTCACTCTATCTGCACTCCCAGGGGGAAGACCAGCAAGTACTTGATAAATTGTAGTAACAGTGGACTGGTATCTAGAATGCATGTAGATAATCACTAGATGACTGAATGACAGAAAACCAGAAAGTACAATGAAGAAGCAAGGTCCAAGCTGGCCCTTTCTCCCCCCAACAACATCCACAAAGCCTTCTTCCATTTTAATAATATGGACAGACCCTAGTGAGCAGAGGGGTGAGGTGGAAGGGAAGGGCAGTAACCTTCCCCTTTGGCTAGAAGTAGAATAATACCTTATCAGCAAGACCACTGGCACCGAGGTCAGTAGTTGGGACAAAGTGTCCCCGAGTGTCCAATAGACATTCCTTGAGTCTTGAGAAGCACTCACCACCCTCCACTCCCATTGCAATAAAGATGACACACATGTTGAAGTCAAGGAAACAAAAAAGGCCAATTACTGGACCAAGTGTCCCTGGTTCTGTTCTCCTTTGTCTTTTGTAGGGGCAGCCAAACGGCAGTGTTTATAGACCCCTGTCCTTCCTCAGCTGCGTGGGAGGAGGGGGAGAGGGAGGAGGAGGGAGTGAGCCCCATTCTCTCACAAGGAAGCCAGGTTACCTGGATAATTTGCTTTGTGACAGGATCCGTGATGACTTTCAGAAATGCCGGGGCATCTTCTCCGCTCTTGAAATGGAAGGACTCCAGTATCAGGTTGGTCAGGACCTCCAGGTAACCAGTGGCAGCTTCCACGGGCAGGAGCACCAGCACGGAGAGCCAGTTGAAGAAGTCATGGACGGTGGCCCCCGCGAAAGCCCTACAGAAGGAAACCCCACCATGCCATCAGCCCCATGAGTCAATGAGTGAGTGGGCACCAGTCTAGACAGGCCATTACTTGCGTTGTCTGCCAGGTGTCAGCTATCTGTGTACACAGAGGTGCACAATCTGATTTTCATTCTCACAGCAATCCCAAAAGTGGGTGTTATTACTATTTCCATTTGACGGAGGAGGAAACGGGGCTGGCATAGGGAACGCGACGGCTACTACATGGGCACTGCCCTGGACCTTTGTCTTCTACTGCTAGGCAGGGCCTTTCGCATCGGATCAGACAGCAGTTTTCTCCACGGGGATAAAGGGAGCTAGACGTGTTACAGCAGCAACACCACTTGTGAACCATGCTCAGCATCAACACCACTTGTGAACCATGCATATTGATGACGACCTTCCTGGGAGGTTGGGGACCAGCACGAGGGTAAACGCCAAAGCCCTCCATATCCAAGTGAATTCTTAAATTTTTTTTTTTAAGATCTTGAGACTCTGATGTAGCATTTGAACAGTCTCTACAGGAAATAAGGCTAATATATAGCAAAATTTTCATTTATCTTGTCCTCGGTGAAAAAATCTTCCTTTAAGAAGGTGACTTAAGACATTTTCATAAGCTGCTGATATAAAGTGAGAAATATTTCTTAGTAGTTTGGCAAAATGCTTTCAGAGTCTTACAGGTTTTTGATACAGTAATTGTTCTAGGGATCTATCTAAGGACATAATCCAAACCACCAAGAAAGAAAATCCCCAAAGATGTTACTGAACACGATCTATTTTAAATATTCCAAACAGGGCATGGGCAAGGTCAGTGATATTCCTAGGTGCTGGCATCTTCATAGATTGCATGTTTCTATTTCCTAAGTCATCCAGAGGCAAAAATTCATGTAACAGTAAAAAGAACACAAAGTCTGAATAAGGAAGCCTTGAGTCCCAGCCAGGTTTCAGTGACGTCACTTCACCTCATACCTCGTTTCTACGTTGATAAAATGAGGCATAGAAAGGCCTAGTCTGCTTGTGAAGATCGGATTAGCGAACGCCATGGATAATGTGTATTGTTTTGACCCTCGGCACCTTTCTTCAGGGGCACAAGAAAGAGTGGGGACGTTGGCTGGCCCCACAGCCTGTTGAAGGCCATGTGCCTGAACCACACGGTACGCGCACCGTGTAGACAAGCTGACATTGCTCTTCCATTTTAATAAGCAAGAAAGTCTGTCACCTGTTAGAAGAGAGGCTAGGAAATGTGCTTAACTTCCACATGACATTTTGGAAAAAGGATTCCCCTTGTCTGGATCCAGCCTGCCCCATTTTCACATCTTACGCATCCGCAGTAGCTACATTTTGCCTTTTTCTGGCAAGTGAAGAACAAAGAAAAAGTGGCATGGGTTCAGCTGGCCGAAAATGGAAGCTTCAGGGTCTAATTAATTCTGACTAAGCAGGACAGTAAATCCTGACCCAGCTGGCCTTGTTTTAACTCTACCACGCTGTAGGTAGGCTCCCAGCCTGGGCCTGCATTGTGCCAGGCGCCTTGCTAAGCATTCACCTGTATGATTGTGTTTACTGCGTTAGGCAATACAGTGGTGTTCAGATCAGGGGGCTGCGTAGGATGTGATCCCTTCCCCCAGCTGCACTCCACCGTGGCCAACTCTAAGCGCTCCAGGATGACAAGCATGTTCTCATTGGATAAAGATTGTTAGGACAACCTGGCCCAAACCGATGAGCCTGACGGTGGCAAACGCTGGTTCTGAGCTTCCTACCTTCTGAACACATTCCGGTCTCCCGCCTGCATGAGTGCCACAAGAGTGTTGGTGATCGAGGTCCCAATGTTAGCTCCCATGATAATGGGGATGGCAGCTTTCACGGTCAGCACTGGAGTGTAGAAAACAGTACGTGAGCAAGTTAGCAAGTTTTGGAAGGCAGCTTGGTTGTGCTCCTGATGTGCCCCAAGGCAGGCTGAACTCATCGGTAACTTCCTACAATGGCAGCTCTTAACCTCTTTGGGTTCTGCAGTAAATCTGAGGAAAGCTACGGCAGTTCACCATAGAAAGGCACGGGGACCAAAAAAATTTTAGCGCAAAATTTCAGGGAATCCTTAGACCCTATGAAGCCCTTCTATGGGCCCTAGTTTCGAAGTGCCTTTCTGAATTCTTAGATGCAAGGCCACCTTAAAGGAGACCAGAAGATAGTGTTTAAGGACTTGTGCTATTTATTATGGCAAATTCCTGGCAGTATAATTTCTTTTTCTAACAAAATTCATTTATTGCCACAATGTGTTGACACTTGAAAGTATTTTAAAGTAATACCTTTTCCTAATTTGGCCCAGAAAAGGCTCTAGTTAACTGTGGCTAAAATGCTGGCTTGGGCTGAAAATTCACCTGTTCAAACTGGTGAATTTATGGAGACTGTCTTAACTAAGCCAGAGCAAATATCAGGCAGGTTTGAGTTTGGAATGCCAGCTCCCCAAGCTCAGCTGTACCAAAGCTAATGTGTGATGTGATTAGATGCCTTTATTCTTGCCACTGAGAGCAGTGATGGAAATGTCCTGTATCTGTGCTGCCCAATAGGGCAGCCACTAGCCACCTATGACCATGGACCCCTTGAAATATAGCTAGCTCAACTGAGCAACTGGATTTTATATTTTAAACTAAAATCAAGATTAAATAAAATTAAATAGCCACATATGCTAGTGGCAGCTGGACTGGACAGTACAGTTCTACATAATTCAGAGTCTTTAAGCATCGGGGCTTATTTTCAGAGTCAGCTATGAAAATGGAAAGAGGAGGCCGTCTGTGACCCGGAGTGGAACACGTCATAGTTGGACAACACAGGAGAATAACGGTGACAGTCCTGGCCATGTTTGCAGTAATTCCCAGGCTCCCCAGCTGCAAAGGGAAGGAACATCTGGGCTTGTGGGTGCCTGGACTCACGTGAGGAGGCCACCATGCTGACGACAATGGATGTGGAGGTGCTAGAGCTCTGCACCATGACGGTCACCAGCACTCCAATCATCAGCCCTGCCACGGGGTTGGACATAATAGAGTTGTTGCTGAAGAACTGCCCGGCCACTTTTCCTGGATAAAAGAAACATGGTCACGTCACAGGTTAGGTGGGCACACAGAGTGCTCAAGTCTCCAGCCAGGGCCAATGCTGGCTGTGGGTTGGAGAGCCCGGCCTCCAGCCTTGCTGGCACCTATGGCACCTTGCTTCCTTGTGCATCTTCTCAGCACTGCCCTGATGCTTGGAGACATGCCCCGCCCCACTCCCCAGAGCCTCATTCATTTTGTCCCTTAACTGTGCACCCCGCTTCAACCACTCCATCCGCAAGCCCTCCTCCAGCCTTTTCTGATCATGAACCTGGCCTCAACTGTGTGCTTAGCCCAGTGGGTGCCAGTGAATCTCCTGACGTCCTAGTTCCTATCTGGGATGTATTCCCGATTCCTAGGATTTATCTTCCAGGAGTGGATCTTCTCAATTCACCCTCCACCTCTGCCCTGAATTTTCAGCCCCAGCCTCAGCCTGTCATTGAATGCTGGGGTTGTCATTTTTGAGAGTATACCTCTGAGACCATCTATCCATTCCCTGCTCCATTTTATAGAGATGACTGAGGTCCAGAGAGTGACCTGTCTGACATACTCAGAGAGCAAAGCCTCTTGCTGATTCTGCCTTGGACCAGAGGAACCAGAAGTGGCATCCAGAGAGTCAGTACGCCCCTCATGCTCTCCCACAAGTGCTCCCCTCCCAAATTCTCCCAGGTCACAAAGATGAGCTCACAAGAGAGGCACCAATGGGTGTAAAAATCCAGTCCTCTGTATCACACGGACCTGAGTTTGAATCTCACTATGCCAATCACAGGCTGTGAACCTCAGGCCCAATCTGAGCCCAGCTCCTCTCTATAAATGGGAAGGGCTTTAAAAGGACAATGTCACTAAAAATGCCTGTACCCAGGAGGCACTCGAAGTGTTAGCGATCAGTGTTGTCACCCATTTTGGGTACAAAGGAGACCGAGCACATGGTGATTTCACTTCTGGATCCTCCTCGCTCTGCGCAGCTATACTCAGTCCGCTAGGGAGATGTTTAGACATTTCCTGCTCTGGATGCAGATTCCCCCAGGCTGGGGACCCTGGTTCTCCAGCAAAGGCCCAGCTTTGATTTCTACAGTTCCTCTGGCCTAAGGGAATATTCTTATCCAACACTCCCCTTTGATGGAGAGGTCCAAAGAAAAGTGGGATCTCTTAGATAAATGTCCAGGCTTTGTGGACAAAAGAGAGGCTGAAAGCTTGGAACTGGCTCCAACCCTGGCCTGAGCCACCTCAGCCAGTCACAGCCCTTTTACAGGCCCTCAGTTCTTTCCTCTGTAAAAGGGGGCACATGACTTCCCATGATCTGAGTGGCTTCCAGTCCTAAAATGCAGCTGAAGAGGGCTTGCTGAGTTGTGAAGGTGAAGGTCTGGACCCAATGAGAACAGCCCCTGCCTCCTGACCTTTGACCCTTTCATTCATACCTCCAACCAGCTGGAAGGCGCTGCTGAGAATGTCCAAGGAGCATACGAACAAGTAGAGGAATCCCAGAAGCAGAATGAATTTCCCAATCCCTTGGAAAACACACAGAAGCTTCCCTTTGGTGTCTCTCTCTGTGGGAGAGGGAAAGGAAGGGAGGCTTTTAGTGTCTGAAACACTGAGAAGTTCGGCAATGAGCTCAGAACTCCCCCACACCCTCCTTCCCAGCCAGAGAGCTGTAAGCAAGGCCCAGAGGTGGTAGGCAGCCATGGCTGCTGTTTCAAAGCAATTACCACAATAGTCCATTTAGTTGAAACCTGTGGCTTTGCATTTGGGAGGAGGGGTTCAGTGTGGTCTGGAGACAGGCAAACTAGGCTCCATGCTTAGCTGAGCCAGTGTCACTGAGTGAGGCAGTGAAGGGCACTTACCACCTGCTCAAGTGTGGGGTCAGAGATAATGGCTCTCCTAAGCACCTTGAGAACAGCACAGACTTATTTTCTAGAAAGTGCTGCAAGGTAGCAATCACAGCCTCCATTTAGAAAACCACTCGCTTTTAAAGTGGTTCTCACCTCCTCCCTCCCAGCTGTGTGATCTGCAGCCAGAACCTGGCCCTGGACAAATGCGGCATTTGCTTACACCCCGGTTATTCTGGCCATACAGTCTCTGTCCTCCGGAAGCCTTTTCTGATGCTCCTGTTTAGGTGAGGGGACCCCCCACCCCATACCCATCCAGCTCTCAGAGCAGGGGCCTTGTTTGTTTTCTGCTGTAGCCACAACCTTCACAGTACCCAGGACTGGCACACATTGGATTATAAAGACCAGCAGGAGTTGCGCTTGGTCGTAACTTCAGTGCTGGCACATTTGTTGAATGAAAAAAAAAAATCAAACCTTTCCCCAGTCACTCCATGCTTTGATTCTAAGCCTCCCAGAGTACTGGGTGACAACCCTAGCCAGGGTCTTCATTCAAAGGGCATCGGAACAATGAAAAGTTCTGCAGTCGTATGGTAAAGATGGTGAACTCAGTCCCTTCTGCCTGCTCCAGTTGGCCTCATTTTTACCTGACCACTTGATCCCCTTTTTCTTAAGCTCGGGTAGATCCCAGGGGTCTTCCACCTCTGTGGGCTCCGCCTTGGGCTCCTCTATCAGTGCCACGGTGGAGCGGGATGGCAGAAGTCCAATCTTGGTTACAGAGGTCTCGGTGTCATCTGCACAAACAAACAGTTCCTCATTCCAGGAGGAATGAGGAACCAAGCCTCCTGGGGTCCCCGCGCAAGGCTCGTCGGGGGCTAAATGAGCGGCACTTACTTTTGTCGGTCTCCTTTTCTTTCGTAGCCGTGGTTGACTGTTGACTAGTGGCCCCTTCGATGTATTTATCGGGGTTATGCTGGGCATTTTCCAGCTCAGGCCAAGGAGCCATGGTCTGTGGATGGGAAAACAGAGCTTAAAGAAGCAGACGCTGAAGGAGGTGCACTCAGTTGCCATGACAGGGAGAACCAGTAGTTGCAAAGATTTGGAGAGGTGGAGGGGAGAGTGGGAGACTGGTGTGCACCTTCTGAGCATAGGCGCTAAGCACCATATTACACGCCTGTGCAGGCCTCCGTCGACTACTCCCTGGCTGTCACTAAATCAAACCACCTCTGTCAGTGCTCTTCCAGCCTCGTCTCTCATCTACATATCAGTTGCACCACCATTGACTTCTCTAACTTCTGTCTCCCCCTCTGTCAGAAAGCGAATGCAAACTCATCCATCTTTATCAACTCATGGTATGCCAAGTCCTCACAATCCTCGAAGGGGCTCCCAGTAGTCTTAATATATATGCAGGTGTACATTCCATCTGCTCTCCCTACCACGGCCCCTTCGGTGAGTAGCATGACACACTGGACCTGGTTCAAATCGCAGAGGCGCCATTATCAATGGGTGTGTTCAGGCAAGTCCCTTTATGCCACGTATACAATGGAGATAATTCTTCATAGTTCGTAGGGTTATGAGATTAATGGTGATGCTTATGAAAGTGCCTCTCACCCAGCAGGCATCCAACAAAGAGTCGCAATGATTACTATGCCATGCTGCCTGGATTAATGGCCCTTTGTCAGAACCTAGTTCTGTACAGGCTTCGATAGAGACTTCCTCAGAAGTCGTTTTCTCTGCAAAGTCTCTCAGTGACGTGGAGAGGAAGTGTAGCTCTTGACACCAACTGAAAGTCCACCCCTTGCAGTCCTTGTCCTTTGACACACATTAAATGACACGGTCCAAAGGACAGACGCAAACGATGAGCAAACGGTTCGCAGAAGAGAAAGTTACCATAAAATAGGTACCAAATAAAGTTCAGCCTCATTAGGAACCAAAGATATGCAGATAAGTTTCAATTATTAAATTAGCAAATACATTTTATGCAGAACATGCCATGCTGGAGATGCAGTGAAATGAGCACGACAGGAAGCTGTGGGAAACAGCTGGCGCACATGCTCCATATATCTCCGACCCAGTTATTTCATTTCTAGGAACTGGAAACCTAGGAATATTTTTCACAGAAAATCAAAAATACCTGCCTTGCTCCGCTCACCTCTTTGGAAAGCATTTCCCAGAACCCGGGTCTGAGTCCTTCGCATTTCTTTAAACGGATCTCATTTTGCTTACCAGAATATAAGCACGACTACAAAAGAATGGGGTTTATGCTGTTTATGACCCACTGGGTTATCAGGCAGCCTTGACGAGTTTATTTCTGTACAGTACTTAGAACAGTTCAATGAATTGGTTAGTGTCACCCCTTAGCGGCTCTGAGGGGTTAGGGTTATTCCCATTTCATCGACGAGGAAACCGAAGTACCAGGGGTGAAGCCACTTGGCCCAAGGCTATTGGCACAATGAGAATTTCTGACTCCAGAATCTGTGCTTGCCTCTCCGTTACTACACGACCCGGGACACTCAAAGGAGTGAGTCATGCATTATTAGCATCAAAAGTGAGATGTATCTGATAAAGGCCCGGTACTAGGCAAAGGGAGAAGACGCTTCAATGTTCGGTGGAGGAAGCAAGTCAGTCTCCCCCTTACTGTATATAGAATCCAGGGAAGTGAGGGCTCCAGGATTTTGGTCTCTAGGCACCTCCTACCCCCGATATTTGTACAAAAGCGTCCGTCCAACTTGCATTTGAATCTATAGGCCTCCTATCTGCACCCCAAACCTTCCTCTCTACTGCTACAGAACTTTCCCGTTGGTGTGATACCTGCTGTCATCCTCCCGGAATCTCAAAGTCCTCTCCTACAGCACCACATTCAGCCAGCAGCAACAGGATCTGCCGATTGTATCTGGGAGCATCTTGGTTTTGGTCTCTGGTTCCTGGTGTCACCTCCCCAGGCTGGGCCTCGGCACCTCCTGCCTGGACCAATGAGGCAGGCTGTTTACCTGTTCTGGGCCCCAGCGTCTCTCCACTGGTTAATTCTGATGCGCAGCAGTGACCTCGTGGATGCCTCGCCTCTGCTCCTGCCCAGGAAGCACTCCCAGAGGCCAGTACTTCCTCTCCCTTTGTTTTGACAACTAACGGTATCTCCAGACATGGCCGAATGTCCCTTGGAGGTTGAGAACTAATGATCTAGAAGTTAGGAGACTGGAATTTAGATCCCAACTGTCTTGGGTTCAAGTCTCAGTTTTGCCATTTATCGTGTGACTTTGGGCTAGTTGCTTTGCCTCTCTGTCTCCCCAGATGTTGAATGAGGATAGCAATACCGATGAAGGGTTATTGCGATGGTTAAGTGTGTTATGTTTCAAGTTCTCAGAACAGTGCCCGACACATTATAAACTTTATGTGATTATCAGCTTCATACTAAAACAAGCATAGATATTATAGTATAGAATGCAAGGTTTATATAAATTAAACAGGACAGAAAGTTATTTGAGTTTGCAACAGGCTAGTCTAGGCTACTCACAGACCTCCAGAGGTTCATATACCTGGATCTCTGCTCTTAAAGAAATAATTTGAAATTGTTTCACCTTTCTCTTATAATCTTAATTCACCCTAGAATTATTCTGTCTCTTATGTACATTTATACTGCCTTCTCTACTAGAATTTAAGTTGTAGAGGGCAGGAACCATCTGTCATGCTTTTTTGGTACACAGTAGGCACTTTACATGTATGAATGGAGACGTCAACACAGAGGGTTTGCTGAAGGAATGCACTCGATCTGTGTTGATCAAGACTAGGAAACAAAATCAAGCCTGAATCTTACCGGTGGGTGGCTGACCCTTCTCACTATATCCAAGTTGGTTTGGCCGAGGTCTGATGGATAGAGCAAATCAAGAAACTGCAACTTGGATGTCACCTCCTGGCAGGGCCTGGCCTGTCACCTGTCCCATTCAGGTGACTCCAGCCTGGGCATCTGCTCAGGGGACTTTATTCCAGTGGTGTAATGGGAGAAAGAATGGACCTTTGGACCTGAGTGTACTGACACCTGTTTGGTCTGGGATGTCTTGTCCTTGTGGAGAGCACATTGGAGAAAGCAGTAAGGTGTAAGAAGGATGATTATTTGCCTATCATTTAAATTACGTTTTAGTGACTGAATTTCTCTGAATCATTTTCTGTCAAGGATTGAACACAAAGTGTCTAGTGAATACAGAAATACTTTTTCCTGGTCCAGCTTCCAAGTGGTTTATAATAGTACAAGCAACAGAATGGGCAGGTTCCCAATGGAGAGGGAGCGGAAAGGGATGTGAGGGTCTTGCATACATACTTACTGTGAGAGGCCTGAGCTGCTTCATTCACTGCGAGATCCTCATTTACTCCCCAAAAAGCCAAGGCGAATTTCTACTGAATGTCTCTACTCTTTCTTGGAAATCCTGTTTTCCCTAATCTGAGTTCAATCATTTGTTTTAAGGCCATTTCCTCTTTACAAACACTTCCCTGATGAAGTAATCATTTCCCCTCACACAGCACTTCATTTTTTGGTGCATTCATCTAACTCCAACATTTCTCTGGTGTTCACTGTACCTTGAGGTAAGGAAAGGAGGCACGATCCACACACCTAAGCACTGCCTAAGGTGTAGGCAGTGGAGAGAGCCACCTGACCCAGCCCAGAGCCCTCTGGACCTGCTGGCCACTCCCCTCCTGGCTCCCTCCACCCCCAAGAGCTGCTCCTCTCAGGACCTAGGAAGTGAGCAAACGGAGCGCCCCTGGCAGCCAACCACAGGCCCCATTCATTCAGCCTTCCAGGTCAGCGGCCATCAAAATCTCAGCTTTCTGAGCAGGCTGACCCTACAGATCTGGAGTAAAGGCAGGACCTGGGGCAAACTCCCCACAACCAGCCCTGAGCCTTGGCCCCCGGAGTTGCCACCTTTGCCAATATCATAGTGCCTGGCACACAGCTTAGGAGAGAACCACACCGTGGGTGAGGGCCAGCTCTGTGGAGTCCTACTGCTCCCTGTGTGTGACCCTGAGCCTCTCCAAGCAAGCCTGAGTTTCATCATCTCAATAATGGGCCACCATTTCCCTCATTGTCGTAAGACTAATAGATTCGTGAGTGTAGGTGAGGCCCTGAGCAGAGCACCTGGCAGAGTCAACACTCAGAACTCTGCAAAATGAATTGCCTCATGAACAATGAATGGCCTGAACTCTGATTTGCCCTGGACCATAAGCCCTTCATCTCAGTGCTCAGCACGGTGGACCCTCAGTAAATATCTGTGTCATAAGTGAACCCAAAGCATGTGAGATGAGAAAGAAGCTACCTTTTGTTTCATGTCAGAGGAGTGTCCTATGTAATCCGTGACCTCATTAAGTGTTATAATAAGGCACAGAGAAATAAGTCCCACCACTACCACTGGATGAGAAGTCAGGATTTGAATATAGGGACTGCTGGTTCCAAAGTTGGGGGTCTTTCCATAGACTTCACGGCCAGGGGCTAAGACACAGGGAGGAGAAAGCTTTGGGACCTCAAAACAGCAGGGCACCCAGGAGCCTCAGATCCCGGGCTCAGGGAGGGCACTGAGGGCTTCTGGGAGAGCTTGCCTCTCTGCAGGGGTCACTCCTGCCTCAGACGGTTGAGTGCACTCCTGCATTCGGATGGCCAGAAATGCCAGCCAAGAATGCTCTAATGACAGGCTGCTGCTGAGTTCCCACAAAGCCTCTGGCATACCAGAGACCTGGATTCAGCATACGCCAAGCCTTTAAGAGTCCCGACTGAGCAAGAGAGGAGACACTGAATGGGCCAGACAAAGGACGGAGCCAGCATCTGAGGCCACTACTCCCAGGGGTGTGGCAGACATTGGCATGTCTGGAACCTGCTTCCCTAGGGAGGAGCTCTAAGGACCTTAAAGCAGGGCCCCTCCTAAGGCTTTCTCCCAATCCCACACCCGTGATCCAACTGTTCCTTCTCCCCGCCTTCCCCCAAGGCCACGCTCCTACACACAGCTGCTGCCTGCCAGAGAAGCAGAG